GAGACAGAGCCTCAAGCTATCCCCCTGGGTAGAGTGCCATGGCATCACAACTCACAGTAACCTCCAACTCCAACTCCAACTCCTCAAGCTATCCCCCTGGGTAGAGTGCCATGGCATCACAGCTCACAGTAACCTCTTGGCATCACAGCTCAAGCAAGTCTCCTGCCTCAGCCTCCCAAGTAGCTGGGACCACAGGAGCCCACCACAACGCCTGGCTATTTTTTAGTTGCAGCCATCATTGTTGTTTGGCAGGCCCGGGCTGGATTGGAACCGCCCCCTTAGGTATATGTGGCTGGTGCCTTAGCCACTTGAGCCATAGGCGCCGAGCCTGTATGTCTTCTTTTGAGAAATGTCTATTCAGATTTTTTGCCCTTTGTTTGTTTGTTTGTTTTTGTTTTTTTGAGACAGAACCTCAAGCTGTACCCCTGGGTTACAATGCCATGGCATTACAGCTCACAGCAACCTCCAACTCCTAGGCTCAAGCGAGTCTCCTGCCTCCTCCTCCCAAGTAGCTGGGACCACAGGCACCCACCACAATGCCTGGCTATTTTTTGGTTGCAGCCATCATTGTTGTTTGGTGGGCCTGGACTGGATTCAAACCAGCCAGCTCAGGTGTATGTGGCTGGCACCTTAGCCACTTAAGCCACAGGTTTTTTTTTTTGCCCACTTTTAAATTAGATTGTTTGATTTGCTATTAAGTTATTTGAGCTCCTTTTATATTCTGGTTATGAATCCCCTGTCAGATGGATAATTTGCAAATATTTTCTCCTGTTCTGTAGATTGTCTCTTGACTTCATTGATTGTTTCCTTGACTCTGCAGGAGATTTTGTGCTTAATGTCATCTCACTGGCTTATTTGCTCTTCCTTTTTATGTGGTTGCTTGTGTCTTTGAGGTCTTACGCAAAAAAAAATCTTTGCCCAGATCAGACCAGTGTCCGAGAGCATCTCCCCAATGTTTTCTTTTAGTTGTTTCACATCTTAGATTTAAGTCTTTAATCCATTTTTATTTGATTTTTGGAAATGGTGAGAGATAGGGGTTTAGTTTAATTCTTCTTCGGTTTCCTAGTTTCAGTTATTGAAGAGACTACCTTTTTCTTATTTTAAGTTCTTGGTGCTTGTATATCTTTTAAGTGGAAAATTTAATCTGTTTACATCAAGTTTATTACTGATATGCGAGGCTTTGTTCCTGTCATAGTGTTAATTGTTTTCTGTATGTTTTGTATATCCTTTGTTCCTTTCTTTCACTCTTATTATCACTGTAGTTTGTTGTGGTTTCATTTGAGTTCTTTTTCTTTCTAATTTGTATGTTTGCTTTACCAGTGAATTTGATACTTTCATGTGTTTTCATGATGGTAATTTGTAATTCTTTTAAGAATTTCTATAAGACGGATCTAGTGGTGATGAATCTCCTCAGTTTTTACTTGTCTGTGAAGGACGTTCTATCTCCTACATTAATGAGGGATAACTTTCCTGGATGTAATATTCTTGGCTGGAAGATTTTTTTTTTCTTTCAGCACTTTGAATCCATCATTCCATTCTCTCCTGTCCTGTAAAGTTTCTACTGAGATATCTGTTTTTCTGATGGGGACTAGATGCAATTCTTATAGGAGAATTTTTCCCTTATAGGAAACTAGATGCAATTCTCTTGTTGTCTGTGGAATTCTCTTTTTTCTTTGAGTTTTGATAGTTTGACCATAAGGAGCCTCAGAGAGGACTTTTTTTGGGTTAAATATATTTGGAGATATTTGAACTTCCATATCTGTCCCAAGACTTGGGAAGCTTTTAACTGTTATTTCATTAAATGAGTTTTATTTCTCTTTCCCTATTTCTTCTCTTTCCCTTCTTCTTTTGTGACTTCCATCATGTGAATATTTATTCATGTAATGGTGTTACATGTGTCATGTAAACTTTTCTCATTCATTTTTATTCTTTTTTCTTTTTTGTCTAACTGGCTTATTTTAAAATACTTGTTTTTAAATTTAGAAGTTCTTTCTTCTGCTTGATATTGTCTTTAATTAAAGTGTTGTGCTTTTTATTTTATTCATGGAATTCTTCATTTCCAAAATTTCTGTTTGGACCCCTTTAAAATATTATTTATATGTCTACATTCAATTTCTCATTCAGATTATGAATTATTTTTCTGATTTTATTAAATTGTCTGTGTACTTTTGTGTCTCACTGAGCTTCCTTTTTGATCAACATTTGAATTCCTTTTTAGGCGTTTCATAGAGGTTCTTTTTTATGGGGACTGTTACTAGAGAATTATTATGTTTCTTTTGAGGTGTCCTGTTTCATTGCTTTTTTGTGTATTGTTTCCCTATGTTAATACCTGTGCATCTGGTATAACAATCATTTCTTCTATTTTTATGGCACAGCTTTCATAGGGAAAGAATTTTTTTTCTGTAGATATGTCCTTTGGTGTTGCTTGAATAGGGTGCTTTGGCTT